TCCGGTAAGAACATTTGGCGCCCACCGTGGGGCCGATCAAGGCAGCTCTTATCGGCCACGCTTATGGTTTTCACCTGAAGCCATAGTAGACGAGCAACAGACGACGTCGATCATACAACAAGCATGGACAACGAAGCAACATTGAGAAGGCTGATCGAGCAGGTCGAACAAATGCGGTAACTTATAAAATGATCAAATGATCAAATTCAAAAAGTTGTGTGATAAAAGTTGCCATTAAGTTTAATGTTAAAGGGAAAAATGCCAATAACTTGACACACTTTTCTTTTATTACTCTTTTCAAACTCACGTGGGTTCTACTAATTAGGAAAATGTATGGATCCCATTTCTAGTATCTTCAGTAGCTGCACCGTGTAGTAAAAAGAGAAAGACACAGCATCCTAGTCGCACCATTCAGTGAGGAAAGAAATACAGAATTCAAGTGAGATCCATTTATTTGGTGGGTCACACCTTATCCTATGTGTTTTTTTTCCTCTCTTCTGTGTAGCTGTAGAGGCTGGAGAGGATTAAAGTTTGAAAAGATCATTGAAAAGAATGCCTCTCAGAAGCTGTGTTGTTATCATTTCTATGTAACAAATGGATTGAAGAGGGACAGGGTATCATATCATAATTCATCAGGAATCTCTAATGACTAGATAATTCTATATAGTATCTTTCTATTAATCTTATTTTGAAAATGCAGAAAATATTTATATTATTTATGTTTTCAAGATGTTATTATACGTATTTAGTTTTCACTTGATACATTCTTCATATATCAATAGGAATTTAGGATTTAGGAGTATTAAGAAAAATCTTGTAAGACGGTACTCCTATATAGCTAACTCTCATGACTTATGATTGCCAAAAAGGGTAAGTAATAAACTGGAAAACACGTGAGTTCTGACTCGGAGGCACTCAAACAAACCTGGTATAAGTGCTTGAGGTCCATTGTATTCTTAATTACAGGATCCACAATGTTTGGAAGCTTAGATCTGTCTGTGAGCTGTGGCATGGCCTGCATACATCATAAATAGCAAGATGTCATTTCCCACACCAACCCAATTAATTTTTATCAAGAACCAAACAGTACCCATGTGACAATAGATTGGCATTGAGCTGGTGCTAGTTTTTCCACAGGCTTCTTTCCCAATAGAAGCTCCAGAAGCACGACTCCAAAAGCATACACATCACTTTTATCAGTCAATTTACCTGTAAAAATAATTAACATGAAACTTCCTTACTAAATAATTCAAAATTTTCGATATCTATCTCGCCATGTTTCAAGAAAATCCATGGAGAAGTGATCCATTTAATTTATACCTCATGATTAATATCTAGTACTTAAATTCACAGTCTCTTAATTATTAAAATAAAATAGCAATCCCTGCCAAATGATCAAAGTTTTCAACTGAATAATACAAAGCTATACTTCCAATGTTTCCCATCTTTCAGACAAGAATCAACTCAACTAGCTAAGAACAAGTTTAGTTCCCACCCTCAGGGCATTTATTATTATCATTATTATTTTTTTATCACTGACAAGAAGCAACTGGAGCAAACTGGGCATATGAGATTGTAACGTGTAACTGACAACATATTAATTTAATAAATCTACATAACTTGCCAGATCAGTTGGGCAGGTACTTTCCCAATAGAAGCACAAGGTGAAGGTGAATAAATAAAAAAATTATTACATAGTTCATAACCACTATAGATATGTTCCGACTCAACTAATCTCCACGTAACAAGCAAACAAATGTTATAATTTACAAAAATAAGATTAATAAAACTCGATTATATATCACATTAGATTATTTGAAACTATGATAGTCCTGAACCATATAATAATTTCTGGTATAGATCACATTTTCAAGTCCACCCTTTACATAATTAATGCATCAAGGGTCCAAAAAGACCGTTATCTTGGATCTGGTTTGTTGAAACCTTAAGGACACATTAAACATATAGTATAACAACTTGTCAGACCATTGCATATGCCATGAAATAATGTCAAGTTCAGTTGGCATACCATCTAAAAGATACTCCGGGGCTACGTACCCCAACGTGCCTGAAAGCTTGATGTTATTCTTATCTTGGGACCCATTTGTTATGGCAAGACCAAAATCAGAAAGCTGAATCCACCAGTAGGCGCACACAGAAAAAAAAACTTTGGTGAACACAATAAATGTGTGGTAGAAATAATAATAATAATAATATATGCAGCAAATTGAGCATGGTCTTTTTGTTTTTACCTTGGCATTGAACTTTGTATCTAAAAGAATATTAGAAGATTTCAGATCTCTATGGATCACCGCAGGATAACAGTGCTCATGCAGATATTTTAATCCCCTGCTTGACATTAATTAAATTGCATGTTAGCAAATAGACAATAAACCAAATAAAAAAATTGTTTACAATAAAATCTCTAATACACTTTGTTATATGTTGAAATTTATTGAGTTTAATGAAATTATAAGTAAGACTTATTAAATAAAGGGTGTGACTCATTATTTTATGACTTTTTTTTTAATGTACACGATTTACATAATATTTCAAAATTAATAATTAAAAATTAACATATATTTGAAAAATATGATTTTTGTTATTATTTTGTGACCCTTAATATATTTTAGTCAATAACAAAGGATACATGTTTGAAAAAAAATGTTGCTGATGTTGCTCCAAAACAAATAGGTAGATAGATAGAAAACAGATTTGGGAAGGTCACCTACTTACCTTGCTGTGTCAAGAGCAATCTTCATCCTCAAATGCCAAGTCAATGCTAAGCCATGAGAAGGTCCTTCACATGATCATTTTTTGGAAAATGAAAAAGATTAGTATTGTTTTTATAACAAATAGAATAGATTAATGATTTTATGATTGACCTCATTAGTCTTTTACTAGGTAATAAAGCATATAAAACGATGTTTTACCATGTAATTGAGTTTCCAATGATCCATTATGCATCAATTCATAGACAATAATTCTCGTATCATCATTACTGCTACAACCCAGTAGAGAAATTACATTTGGATGTTGAATTTTACTTAACAAATCCACCTCGTTCTGCAAATTCATCGAAGTCCAACTATTCAATATATTATTCAAAAATAAAATAAGAAGGCAGAAAAATGGATAAATTATTAATAGGAATTACCTCATATTCTTGCTCTGCATGTTGATTTTCACAGTGCAATTTCTTAACGGCAACATCCAAATTATCATCCAAATGAGCCTTGTAAACACATCCAAAACCACCCTCACCCAAGATGTTAATTTCCTTGAAATTGCCCGTGGCTTTTTCTATTTGCTTATAATCAATTACTGGACAAAATCCTTTCTTACCAACCAGCTTTATAGAGCTGAATTTACTCAAAAGTGGTGCTGAACCTAGCCCTTTCTCAGCATCTTCGGATTCAAAATACAGAATAAGGAGAAAAAACAAAACAAATTTCAGAAAATACCAAGGAAGTAAATTAAATGTCAAACTTTATTGACATCTCAAAATTGTGATTTGTGAAGCAAATCAGCAACCTAAAAGGTCATTTGGCCTGAGAAAATATGTTTTATTTTTGTTTTAAAAAATTTATATAGGAAATAAAAAAAAAAAAATTGTTTCCTGTTTTCACTTTTTTCGCTATAAACTTCAGAAAGTAGGAAACAAAGTGAGAGCAGAAAAGGTAAACAGAAAACGTTTTCTCAGACCAAATGCCTATGAGATTCTAAAAAATGGAATATTGAAAAAAGGGTAAAATAAAAACCTGATCTTTGACCCTTTTTGGTGTTGGGTTTTGAAGGGTACTTGCAGTAGTAAATCCAGACACACAACACACACAAAATGACTGCACCAAGTGAAGTGCTGGTTACGGCAATGGCAGTTACCATTTTCTTGTGTGAATCCATTTGTTGCTGTTCACCCCCCATCACAATTCCTGATCAAAATGCGGCTTATATAACAGTCAGCATCAAAAACATGGGGAAAAAATGTCTTATTTATTCAAATTTCAAACCATAAATGACTAGTTAACATAGTTTAAGCAAAAGGGTAGCATTCAAATCCACATAATAAATCATATTAGACCAAGACCAGAATTGAATTAAAAAGATAGTTACTATATATTATTATATGCATTAAGTGCTAGTCATGATTTTCAAATTTAAATTTGTTACTGTTGAGTACCAACTCCATCATGAGAAAGAAACAGACAGTGATAGAGACAACAAATGCATCAGAAACATAGGTAATGACATGGACACACACAATTGTCTTCGGTTTGAATCACCGAGAAAAGTTTCCACATTTAGTGTCTGACAATACCTCGAACAAGATTGCCTTGAATGAAAATATTTGTAAGAAGAAAAAATAAAGACACACAAAGAGAAGAACCTGGAGAGGAAGCAGACATTGAAGTGGAAAAGGGTGGAAATTGAGGTGAGGGAGCAAGAGGGTATGATGATGCAAGAATCCAAAAGGGTTTGGGGAGAATAAGGAGGAGCATGAGAAGCATAAGAAGAAGCTTCGTATTCATTGTTTCTTTCTAAGAAAACATGAAGATATAGATATAATAGATGTGTGGAGGTAAGGCTTTTGTGCCTGAAAAGGAAAACACACACAAACACACAACACACAACACACTCACTGAATGAAAGTGAATGTGTGTTTTGGATCTTTGAGGCTTGACCTCCTTTTTTAAACTTCCAAAAAACAATATTTGCTTTTAGTTATATCTTTTTTGAACCTTTTTATGAGCATTCTCTTTCTCGTTTTTTTTAATCTTCTTCTTTATTTAACTGTCTTTCTCTCCCACTTTCTCTGCAGAAGAAAAAGGGAGACAACAATGGATAGATGAAATTTAATTTTAAGGTGGGGGCAACTGTACGACAATCACGTGCACTCATGCATTGTTTCGGTTTAAGCATTTGCATTTCACCCAAAATCACCAAAGGGAAAAGTTGAAAGAAAGGAAGAAAAACATGTTCATCAAGTTTAGCTCTTCGTCCAAAATAGATTTTAAAATGATTCTTTTTAAAATTTATAATAACATTTTTTTAATATAAAATAAAATATTGTAGAGATGAGATTTGAAAAAATAATTATATTCTTATCTTTTAAAAATAGACCTTTTAAAATAAATTTTTAAAAATGTAAAAGTGATTTTTAAATTATAAAATCTTAAAAAAAAATATTTATTTTTTTATTATCATAAAGATGATAATTAAGAACTAATTTATATTAACAAGATGTGACTTCTACTAATCATATATTATTTTAACAAAAGGTGATTTTAAGTTATAAAATCTTCAAAAAAATCATATAAATATTAATATAAAATACGTTTTTTTAAAGGGATCTAAAATTAGGATTTTGTTGGCCTATCCTTACTCTGGTCATCATCAAGATAAATCTATTCATAATCTTTTGTATTCAAAATTATTTATTGAATTAGTTATTTAAGTTAATAAATAATAAATCCTATAAATTAATTAAAAAATATAAAGTTTGAGTAAAAAAATGAAGTATTTTTTTTTAGCTCCCTCCCACCATGTTAACATAATTACGATTGCAACTCTACACTACAAAAAGATCTAAATCATTTATTAAAGAACACACATGTCAACTTTTGTGTACTAACGAATCAAGCGATCTCGAAGGGTTGAAGGATTGAACCCGTATGTAATGTTTAGAATTTTTTTCTCAAATAATATTTTTTAAAAAAAAATTACCAAAAAAGTATCTATTACACATTATTTACTCAAATAGACTTTTTTACTGTTCACACTCAGAATTCGATTTCCGGAAAATCGAATTCTGAGTAGTGTAATTTCTTTTTTGTGCTTAGAATTCGGTTCCCGAGAAACCGAATTCTGAGTAGTGTTTAAATTTTTTTTTTTCGTTTTGGGCTTAGGAATACGTCAATTTTATAACTGGAACGAGCCGTTTTCCTTGGAAAACGGCCCGTTCTGCTTGGAACGGCCCGTTTTGATCTATTCATCATGTGTATATTTTTTATATGGAACGGGCCGTTTTGATTGCAGAACGGCCCGTTCTGAATCCAGTTTTCCTCTTCCTCAGAAACTAAAACGCAAAAAGATAAATAAATAAATAACACTGCTCAAAATTCGATTTTCCGGGAACCGAATTCTGAGTGTGAATAGTAAAGTGGTCTATTTGGGTAAATAATGTGTAATAGATATTTTTTTGGTAAATTTTTTTTTAAAATATTATTTGAGAAAAAAATTCTTAGCATTGTTATTTTTTTTTATGCGTTTTAGTTCTGAAAAAGAGAAAAACTGGATTCAGAACGAGTTGTGCTGCAATCAGAACAACCTGTTCTAGATAAAAAATATACACATGATGAATGGATCAGAACAGGCCGTTTCAAGCGGAACGGGCCGTTCTCCAAGCAAAACGAGTCGTTCTCCAAGCAGAACGAGTCATTCTCCAAGCAGAACGAGTCGTTCTTTAAGGAGAACGGCTTGTTCCAGTTATAAAATTGACACATTCTTGAGCCAAAAAAAAAAATTTAAACACTACTCAGAATTCGGTTCTCCAGGAACCGAATTCAGAGCCCAAAAAAAAAATGACAGTGCTCAGAATTCAGTTCCTAGGGAACCAAATTCTGAGTGTGAACAGTAAAGAGATCTATTTGGGTAAATAATGTGTAATAGATATTTTTTTAGTAATTTTTTTTAAAAATATTATTTGAGAAAAAAATTCTGAACCATACATAATGTATTGTAACATGCAAACATCGAATTCAATAAATAAGTTTTATGAGACACTCTCCAACTCTTTACTTTCCATGTTCCTAATCCTTGAATGCAAGTAAACAACTATACATCTCTTGAAGATTACGATACCTTGTGTGAATTACATTAGATTTTTATCCTTTGTCTGTATATACATGAATTGTTTTTAGAGTGTTTATTATGGAAATCTTTCAAGGGAAAAAAAAATATAACCATTGATATCTCGAATCTAATTAAGTGAATTGCGTGGTAATCTTTCTCTTTACATTTTCCTTTTTTTCATTTGGTTGGAAGCTCTAACAGTTAATACTCACAATCACAAACGTCATTGTCAAAGCTCATGGATAAGCAAAGCCACCAAAATGTCTTAAAAGCAAAATGCCACAGCGAATCATTGCTGGCTAAATTCTAATAGAAAAATTAATAACTGCAAACAAATAATTGCTAATTAAAGCATATTATTTCTCCACCTACTAACATTTTATTATCCGTAAACCAAAATGTTAGAAAACCATGTATGAATAAAAATATAAAAAAAAAATGCATTCATTACATGTGTTTTATACCAAAATTTATTCCCATAACATAAGTAGTTGAACACTTATATTTCTTAATTAAGAAATGAGATTCGATCTCGATTTAAATAGGACATTACTTTATTTAACTTTTTTAACAATATTTTCTTACTTATATTTATTAAGATGTTACTATAGATTAAATTAATATATAGATTATTCACTATTGTATTTAACTTCTTTATTAATATTTGCTTACTTATATTTATTAAAATATTACTATAAATTAGGTTAGTAGTTTATTGCATTAATTATTATTTTTCAAGAAAATATTATTATAGATAAGTAACATTTTTTATTTTAATATTATTTTTTCTAATTGTTTCTTAAAATTAAAGTCCAGTATTCAGGAATTCGAATCTTATCTTGTGTATGCAGCCGTGTTAAATTTTGGGTCAACTATCCTACCCTTTGAGGTGTTTCTAACGTAGCAAGGAGATTAGTCACTACTATTGGCGGTGGATACTCTAGGAACGAACCAAAAAATAATTAAAGTCCAGTATTGAGTAAAATTAAGAATGACACATAAATAATATATTTCTCTAATATTTAATTACTTCACAATATCAAAGTCTTACATCAAGTAAGTAAATGATATATAAGGAATATAACCATAAAATGAAACATAATATGAATCAACTTTGATATTTGATCTAAATTTGGTAGTGACTAAACTTAAGATGTCTCCAATCTTAAAAGACTTGTAGATAGGAGCCCTAAAGTATAAATGACAACACCACTTATATTAAAACTAATTACCATTTTATAAAACTTACAAAAACTTAATAACATTATTAAAATATCATAAAATATCACTTTGGTGACATTTTTAAAATGTTATCATTAATATGTAAAAATGTTGCTATAAAACTTTAGTAACATAAGTTTTATGTTATACATTTGATAAAAGTTACAAAATTTTATTAACAATATTTATTTATAATTTAGCAACATTTTACTAATGTCGCTAAAAACACATCTTGTTATAATAATGACGTCACAAGTGGATCATATCAATGTATCCTTATAACTAAAGACTTGTGGGAAGTTATATTTCCTTGTGAAATAAAAAGATAGTGTTTTATAAAGTATTTTTTTAAAGAATTATTTATTAAAATAGTAACTTAAAATATTTTATTTTTTGTATAAATTATATATATATATATATGATTTATGTAATGTCTTAAAAATAATAACTAAAAATCAATTTACACTTACGAAATATGACTGACGAAGCATTATTGATATATAAAAATTAGCATATAGAACAAAGTTTTCATTCTATTTAACATTATGACTGACGAAACATTATTGATATATAAAAATTAGCATATAGAACAAAGTTTTCATTCTATTTAACATTTTAACCAGTGTTTTAAAACCCGGACCGACCCGGCCGGTTGGACCGGGAACCGGTGGTCCAGCCGGTTCGAATCTGAAGTTGGATTGGTTATGCAATCGACCCGTTTCAAATCGGATTGAACCGGTCAATTTTCCGGTTCAACCGGTGAACCGATGGGTCAAACCGGTTCAACCACTTTTTTTTCTTATTTTTTTTTAAATTTTTTTAAGGGACCATAAATCACAAAAATAATAATAATAATTGAATCTCTTAATGAAAAAGCAAGGAGTCTTATTAAATATAACAATGACTACTTGTTCTAATATATTTGTTTGTAATATATACAATTTAAATAACTTTTATAGTATATTATTAATTTTAAATTATATATTTAATAATGCAATATCTATGTAAATATTACATATATTATTTTGTGATATTAATTGCAAGCATATTATATATGTACATATTATTTATATTTTTAATTTGTATTAATATACAGTTTAACATGTAATTTTTTTATGTATTTTTTTACAAAATAAAAATAAAAGTAATTTTAAATAAGATAGAAAAATTGAAATTTAAAATAAGATATGAATTTATTAAAATTTATAAGTATAAAATATATTTAATATAAATATTTTTTAATAAAAATCGAGTCATGCAGTTCAACTAGTGACCCACCGGTTCAACCTTTGACCCACTGATCCAGTACCTTAACCGGTTGGATGACCGGTCCGGTTTTTGAAACTATGATTTTAACACAGTTTCATATCGAGAAATTGACCTCGATATCATTGATCAGCGTTTTAAATGCCAGAAAGGGTGAATAGGCCAATTCCGTATAGGGCAAATGGTAGTAACCAACCTAGACATTAAGAATTACCTGAGTTGGAAGGTTACATTAATGGATACATATGAATAAGGTACAACAGGTTCGAGCTTTGAATATTTATCGGTAGAAAAATAATACTCGTCACGTGTTAGGTCGATTATGGGTTTGAATTTTGT